CACGAGACATACCATTGTCCTTTCAGTAAATTTACACTTCCATAAACATGAACTGATTTGCCACAGCGGATTCACCTTATTGTAATCCAGTTTCGATTTAAGATGCAACGCTTTTGACGATTTCAGGTTCAAGAGAAAAGTTCACTCAAGATTTTCCGAAATATAATAGGTATCCTTACAAAGCAGATAGGCAAGATTGTATTAATTCTACTCATTTTGTCTTCATTCTGAAAGAAGAATAACAATTCATCTTAATTGTATATTCAGAGAATTTGTCCATGAAAAAAAATTCGACTGAGCGTAACGTAGAAATGTTGATCCTCGGATCTATGTACAAGATTCAATGCATTACACACAGTTTGGTTACGACGTATTTTACGAATTCTCCCAATAGAAACTCGTATAATATAAGAGATTAGAGATAAAACGTCTATCGATCAATTTTGGTCTAATAAAACAACATGAAAAACATTAAAGACAAGTGTTTGAGAAATCTTTTGAGAAACTTTTAAAATCAAGCACATACAACTATGTGGATAGTATAGTAACGAACGAAGGAAAATGTGCCACGGAAATCTAGAGGCATATAGAAATAGAGAAAGGTGTCTTCCTGAAACTAAGCCAAGTAATAAGAGATTAGAAAACTTCAGCTTTTACAGAGTTTAATAGCGTTTACACGGTCTTGTAGGGAGAATACTTATTCTCCCTACTTCCACTGACATAGCATCGCAAAACTATCGGTATTTGCGAAAAAAAAAAAAAAGTTTGTTTCATTCATTTCGAAATAATATTTTTTGAAAAGGCATTAACATATCTCCCCTTTATTTAAAGTAACAGCCAGTCGCAGATAAGAAAATCTAAAAATTCAAACATAATAAAACAGACTGGATGCATTAAACATAGATAGCATTCAGTCTAGGAGAAAACAAATTTATATTTAAAACAAAAAAAAACAAACAAACAAAAAAACAAGTCTCCAGTCAGGCCGTCTTCCTATGTACAAGTCGTGACCCTAACGGGTTACAGGACTCGTGCATTAAGTTATGCCGATGATCAGAATACTGACAACCAAATATAAACGCTATTACAAAAATGAGATAGTAAATATAAAATATATACTAAATCAAGTGTGTGCAAATGCGATTAATTCATTTTTTTCATTACTGAAAAGAGAATTGACTAATATGCCCGCTTTTGTCTGGGCAGTAATTACAGAGTGCACCAACGTATTCATTTCTTTCCCCCCAATAATATTAATCCTTGCTACATATCTCTCTTAAATTGGGGAAAATTTCATTTTGACTCGCAGAAAAAAAAAAAAAAAAAAAAAAGAAAAGATGTTTCATTTTGACGTCCATTTCTTTGTGCTTTTATTGGACATAAAACAATTTTTACCCTGAGTTTTCAATCGCCAATCTTTATTAATGACTTGACTACATTAAGACAGGGTATCTACATAACTAATTGTTAATTTCTAAACAATCACTGACAACAACTAATGACCGATCCATTTAGAATTCGGTAAAATTTACTATTAAGAGGAATGCATAAAAATTTAACAGACCGTAATAGGACAGAGCGACATATTCTTCAAATATCGGCACCGTGACGATAGAAAAAAGCTTTGCTGATAACAGTTCATAAGTGTTTCAAATTCGCTATAATTATGATGGAAGGATGTTTAATATCGAAGACAGAGCGATTGTTGATATCGTCAGCGTAAAATACAAAGCAAACACCTCACCACCGATCTTCAGACCATGAGGCATTCATATGCTTGTCACTATGCTATATATCTCTGTCCAAAGTGTTTATCTATCCCTGTATAAATCTCTTTTTTTCATAGTAACGCTCATCCTGTACTATGCCCAGAGACCGCACGAGGTAGACGGTTACATTAAGAGAGTTTATGCGGCTAGGAGGGGAAGACAACAGTTAACCTGAGACATGAACAGGTTAAGATTGTAGTGACGGGAGAAACATCCTCTTGAGAGTCGGGTCTACAGGGCAGTGGTTCCCGGAAAGAAGCCGTTCGAGTGGAACTTACTTATCTGCAGTGCATTACAGAGAAAATGTGGGTGGTTGCTACAATCTGAGGCAGAGGATAGCATGTACAATTAGGTATTTCAGGATATCTAAATTTCTAGGCCGTTAGATATTAATTTCACTGAATTAAAAAAAGCATAAAATCTTTTCTATTTTTTTATGTGCATTTCATTATTGATGTGCTTTGTCCTAGATTTCGCAGCCTTATATAAAATGTAGATGAAATTTTCCTGAATATTTAATAAATTGTTTCATTGTTTCGAGCTACACGATTTTTCTCATCAGAATCTACCTTGCCCTTTTATAAATTTACTATTCTTCCCTGCATTGAATATTACTGATACATCTGGTCTGGTGCTTTAGTTATGGATTTAGCGATTTTTGACAACATTCTAAAAAAAAAAAAAATCTGCAATATTATTGGTCCTAAACTGGCGTCACGAACTGAATCACACACACCATTTATGTGACTTTTTAAGGAATGTTTTCATAGCAATTGTTTCGATAAGCTATTCCCTTTGGTACTCGATTTCACGAATTGAAGTGCAGTGCTAGATTGGCAGCGAGGACCCATCATTTCACTCTTTAAATTGATAAATATAACTAAGCTCTACTCTAATAGATTATTCTTTCGCACTTCTCGCTTGTGGAACTCTTCCGGCTTCTTGTTTCCTGTTGACTATAATCTTCAACCATTTAAATTCCATATCGTTATCATCTGTTTCCTCGAACCCTGTTCTTTTATTGTATCCACCGTTTTTTTTTTTTGGTAAACCCTTGCATCCAAGTAGCTTTTATTGACTTGCTTGGGGCAAAATAATTATATAAAAAAAAGAATTGCTGAATTAAAGATCGTCCAGAGTCCATTTTTCTAAATAATGAATAAATAATCGTCCAGGCACGTCTATTTTAAACTCAAAAGGTAAACAGTTTCATAAACACACTGCTGCTATTTGCTTCATTTGTGAGCGAAAATGAAAATGTTTGAATCTGTATCTGACGCGAAAAATAAATCAGAAAATAATTATACAATTATCGAAAATATAAACAGATTAATATAAATAACTGACTTTTTCTGATGGCTAACGTCAGCATAGATTATTTTGAAAGAAAATCTGTCTGTTTTCCTTACAAAGAAGCTTTTAACTTTCTGTAAAGCGCGATTCTTGTCACGTAGGCAAAACAGTGGTTCCAGGCAACAGTTTTGATTTGTTGCTCAGCAATTCCTTCATTACCAGCCGCTTAAGATTTTGGAAATATTCAAGAATGACTCAAAACACACATGAATGAATGAATATATATATATATATATATATATATATATATATATATATATGATAAAAAGGCTTAAACACTAATATTCCATGGTCATAATTTATTCCATTGGAATCGTAAATACGATCCAATTCATCAGACCTACAAATTCAAAAAAAAAAAAAACCACCCGAAATAAAACAGAATTTAGAGAGAGTGTAAGTATGAGGAGGAGGGAGATTAAACCTTAACAGAGAGAATTTTAAGGGAGATGGGTGGAAGAGGTTTAATTAAGAGAAAAAAAATGAATGTGTTGACGGATGTCTAATGCATAAAGATACATTTCGTGGTGACATACACACACCATAGACAATCTAATGTTAGAATAAGAGGGAGGGTCGATATTAAATTTGTCAAATTTTCTCAATTACAAAGCGGCCCTTTAAGTAAACGCAATTTTACTTTCCTTCGTCCCATCTCTCTCCCCCAGCTCGTCTTTCCCTCCCTCTTATTCTAACATTATTTATTATATCCTTACTCTGTCCTAGACATTGAGTTCTACCTGGATTCTTCCTCTTGAATTTTTTTTTTTTCAAAAATATACATGTATGGGTATTTATATTATGCATATGTATGTATATTTTCCACTAATATTATCTCTCTCTCTCTCTCTCTATATATATATATATATATATATATATATATATATATATATATATATATATATATATATATATATATATATATGTGTGTATGTATATATATATATATATATATGTGTGTGTATATATATATATATATATATATATATGTATATATATATATATATATATATATGTGTGTGTATATATATATATATATATATATATGTATATATATATATATATATATATATATATATATATATATATATATATATATATATATATATATATATATATATATATATATATATATGTATATATATATATATATATATATATGTGTGTGTGTGTGTATATATATATATATATATATATATATATATATATATATATATATATATATGTGTGTGTGTATATATATATATATATGTGTGTGTGTGTGTGTGTGTGTGTATATATATATATATATATAGAGGAGGCACGGTGGAGCAGTGGTTAGCGGCTTGGATTGAGGAATCGAGTTCGAATTCCAGTCGAATCCACTACATTCACTTACGTGCTAATACCCTTGGGAAAGGTATGTATCCTCTTCATCTCCAGCTATAGCAGGACAGACTGGGTTCTATAGCCTTGATGGCAACTGGTCTAGGAGAAGGACAACTCTGAATTCAAAATTTGCGGAGGGTGCACCAGGTGCACCAGGTTTCTGTATTCGTCCCTCCAAAAAGTGTAGCTGGTCCCCACATGGCCTTCACCACTATAAACAAATCTCATGTGCCGGTGTCGGGATGTCGGTTTCTGGGACTTATCGGCCTGACCTCATACGTCGAACGCGACGGGAGAGTCGATTATATATATATATATATATATATATATATATATATATATATATATAATTTCTTTATCAGGAAATGGTCAAAAGTGTATTGATCTTCATAGAGAGAAAAAATGGAAGCAAATGAAGGACGGTGAATAACTTTGTTAAATGTTAATGAGTATATTGATGAAAAAAGTGAACAGGAGTTTTGAGTCGAGTTTCTCAGTCTTTCATTCCTA